GATATGAAGAGCTCCTGCAGGGTGGACAGGAAACTACCCATATGGCTGCCTCTGAGAAACAGAACCAGGAGGAAGGAGGGAGGCCCTGTGCTGTAGAGGCTTTTGCACTTCTGGATGTTGGGCCATTTGGATGGAGAGCTCATTCAAAAAACTCAGAGGCAGAACATTGCTTCAGAGAGCTCTGCCCAATGGATCCTTCCAGTGTATTCGAAAGGGAGCCGTGGGCCCAGCTTGCTCCCTGCACACCCCACACAGCTCTTAGGCTGGGAAGGGCCGGCCTCCTGCAGCCTCCCACAGGCCACTCGGAGCCCGAGGAGGCCATACCCAGGTTGAGACAAGCCAGCGTGTTGGTACACTTCCACTCCTTCTCGTGTGTGGCCACTTTGACGTCATCCATGACGAGAGGCACCCAGCCACCAAACACGTACATTCTGGGAGTGAGGAGGGAAGAGTGGGAAAGGATTGTAGAGTTGGTGCCAAGCTAGAGGCCACCTCTGCTACCCCAGTTCTAGAGCTCGGTCCTCTGGCTCTCCCCAGGAGAGTCCCCAACGATGCATGAAGCCTCCTGATGTGGCCCTCTCCTGCCTGGTGGCTCAGCCCTCAGGAGAACTGTGTCACCTCTACCACATAAAAGTGCCGTTCGGCTCATTTAAAGCTCACCTTCCTGTCCACAGTTCCTAGGTTCCCTTTAGGACCTGGGCATTCACAAAGACACCCAGGTGCTTGCACAGAGGACCTATAACACTCTGCACCCGATGGGGCGGAGCCTCACAGGCCCAGGGAGGGTCTCAGACTCAGCTTGTGTGTGGCCCTCTCCCCCCTGAATCTGTCTTTCCTTGGTCCCCCAGGGTCGTAATGGAAACATAGGGCTGCCGAATGCCAGCCCAGCCAGAAAGAGGCATCCTCAGGCCTTAGGGTCTGACAGGACAAAACTGAGTGAGAGCCCTTCGGGGGAGGGGCCACGCCAGCCTAGAGAAGAGAGATGCAGGCGAGCAGCCACTCACTTATTTCCGATGGTGGTTGCCGAGTGGAGACTGCGAGGAAGAGGCGCCACCCCGCTGAGACTGGGCTTATTCCACGTCAGTGTGTCTGCAGAGAGACGGAGGAGAAAGGGTTACACAAGCTAGACTGCACACAGGCCGTTCCCTGGATTCAAGCTAGCTCAGGAAGGTAGGATCTGTCTCAGTAAGAGAATTCCATCCCTGGCTTCCCTACAGCCCATGGCAGGCCCTCTGATTGTTGTCATGGTAGCTAGATTCCCGTGTTACCCAGGCAGTTTTGACCAGCCTAGCAATAGCGCTCCTTCAGTACATCCTGAACGTCTGCCTTGAGCCAGCACTGCACTCTGTGCTGGGGGAGGAGTGGTGAGCGCACCTTGAACTCTCCATGAAATACGTTCATTGCCATAACCACCTTAGGCTACAGACATTTTGGCAAACACTGTTGGAAATTTCTCTCACAGGAAACTGTTTCTTTGGAGTGCCAACTCTGATCTATAGGACAACATCGGCATCTCCTCTCTCCCAGCGGAAGAGGCCTCTGGAGATCCACAGTTAGCAATCTTCCCCAACCACTCCTGATACCACCACCTGGTGACCTGCCCAAGCAGTCCCCGAAGGCCTTATGGTTTACCGCCATCCAATGGTACCACAGCAGTCAGACCAGGATGCAGCACTCCACACACAGTCTGACCACTGACGAGTCAAGAGGGACTAACGCTACCAAGATCCAGATAATTCCATTCTAGAAAGCCTTACTGTCTTATTCTCTTCTAGGCCCACAGACCAACACAGCCCACTGAGCCAGCACAGGGCAGAGATAACAACCCCAAACCTAGGGACGATGCAGGGTTCCCCACCCTGGCCCACCATGACAAGAGGAAAGTACAAAGTGGTACGTTCCAGCTCCCTACGAGCCCCACCTCACCATACAACAGCACCACCCATGGGGCCAGCAAGAGGCAGACCCACTTTGTCCCACGGCTGCTGGGGTGCTACCACCCTGCTCACCAATATCTAGGGTCCACAGGTCCCCCAGCCTGCAGCCACTCATCCCGCCGTAGATCACCAGCTTGGACTTCTTGTTGTCTTTCTCGGTGTAGACCACGGCAGTATGTGACTCCCGGGGTGGTGGTAGGACCCCATAAGTGATGGGGATATCCCAGGCTACCACTCCGGAGCCTGGCCGTAATTCCAGGATATATAAGTCATTCAGGTACCTGACAAGGAAAAATCAGTTACAGCAAGTCTCAACTCCTCACGCCAGAGGCTTCGCTGGATGGCTATCAGTGAGTGGCGGCCTCCCCAGCACACAAAGGGGCTAGGGCCATGGGAGCTCTGAAGTTCTGCTCCAGCTCTTGAGGCAGGGGCTGCCAGAAGCTCCCTAGCATGAATCCAGTTGGAACAGGGGACAGGGTGGATGAGGCTGCACAGCAGCCCTGAGTCCAGACCCAACAGCAGGCCCCCACCATGCACACAAAGCTGGGCATTATACGAGGGCTGCACAGAGCAAGAGGGGGCGCCAGCTTGGGACTACCTCCAGACAAAGAGTCCTTGGCCACGGGCCTTGGAAAATACCCATCAGGAAACTTGTAGGCAGCGGAGGCCGACAAGGAACGCGAGCAGCTCTAAGCCGAGTCTGAGAGCTGGGCCAGCCCAAAGCAAAGTGGCTTCCACCTCCGGCTTGGCCCTTCTCCCATGAGGCCTGCTCAGGGTCAGTAGTGATTCTGGAGCCTGAAAGCTCCTGAGAGGGCATCTGGTGCTGCTCTCTCATTTACAACCCACCACGACAAAGGGACCCAGCTGCGGAGCTCTGCTGTGTACATTCTTTAGGACACCACAGAGCCCTGTGCATGTGAGAGCACACCCAACCGGGGGGTTCCACAGAGAAAAGGACCAAGCCTCACCTCGGAATGTTGTTCTTTGGGTCCTCGCTATCGTTGGCCAGACCCCCAAACAGGTAGCATTTGTTGCCCACAAGGGAGAAGCTGTGCCCGAGCCGAGGACATGGAGGGGGCCCGTTTTTGGGCGTCTTTGCTTTGAGTCTCTTCCACTCCCACCGGCTCGCCTGCAAAATCAAGACCTGGAGACTGAACCGTGGGATGAGAAGGCCACCACCGGGGGCCCAGGGCAACTTGTGGTGGAAGAGGAAATGGCTGAGGGTGAGTTAGGGGCCTTGCTGGAGCAAGAAGGTCCTGGGTGTTGGGCCCTGCCTTCTCCTGAGGTGGGCCAAGTTCGGAGCGGCCTTGGCAGACTCTCAAGCATCCCTTCCACCTCCCACTTGCCTCAACCCTGAAGCTACTACCATCACGTCACGTGAGGCCAAGGAGACAGAGTGAGAACCTGGAGTTGCTTTACCTGGAGCTCATAGAGGTCATTGCTGTATTTTCCATACTCCACCATCCCGCCAAACACCAGGAGGCGAGTCCCGTCACACACGAAGCCATAGGCTGCACACCCAGGGGGAATGTCCCCCCTCACGGCTGGGATGAACCACTGGTTGGTTGCTGGGGAACAGAAGGAGGCAGAAGTCAGAACACCCAGGAGCCCCATTCCTCTCATTCCCCAAATCTGCCAGCCGTCAAGCTTGGTGAGAGGGGCTGAGCCAGCACCATTCCTGCAGGCGCTCTAGCAACTCCAGCCGCGCTACCTGGGCCATTTTCCAAACCCCTCGACTTCAGGCCACTGCAAAAGAGCCTGTGACTACCCTGCTTCTAGCCAAGGTCATCTTAATGAGCGGGAAGTTACTGTGCAAGATCCCTCGTCAGCTACCGGGGATCTAGCCCCTGCGTTCCTTCCCTAGCACTCAGTGATCAGACATGAACTTCTCCCCAAAATACCCTATTGGTGGGCCTGTGCTCCTCCTCCCTGGAGCCCACATTTTTGTCCCTTCATCACAGGATCAGGACAGCCAGAGCCCAGAGCAGCACTTTCAAGTGGCCAAAAACAGCAACCACTGCAGGCTGCGAAGGGCCACGGGGATGAGACCCAGCCTCTGCTCTGACCTCCTGGACCTCCTCTGGTCTCCTAGGTGATGGTCCACCAGCATCCCTCCCTGCCCCCGCTGCCACACCTATGCTACTCCAGAACATTCTTGCAAGCCAGAGGCAGCAGTCTCAGCAGAGCCGTGACAGAAGCTTCTCAAAAGCTCATGGGGGTTAGGAGACCACCAAGAAAGAGGGGAATCAGACCCTAGGCACTGCTTTGCTTCCGCAGGATGTCACGGCCAGCCTTCAGCTGGGACCAGGCCCTTCCCTCATGTCCTCGAACTTGACTCCCCTCACACCTGGCAGGCCAGGGCTTCCCCGAAAACCTCCTCCTATGAGGGGTCCCTCAGAGGATTTGCCACACTCTTTCCAGAAACCCCAAACTGGGGGCCAGGTGCAACATCGACACGGTGCCCCTGAGCTGGCCTGGGTGAGATCTCAGCGAGCAGATGGCGGAAGGAGATGAGGCCCCTTCCACGTGACTCAAGATGCAAGATGGGTCCCCCAGGACATGACAGGGCATGGGGGGAATTCCTGTGGGGTGGGAACTGGGAAGGCTTCCATACAGGGATGCTGTGATATTGTGATATAACACAGACTATTCAGTTTGGTGGCCAAAAGTGTGAGACCATAGAAGAGAAAAAACAAAGTGTTTTTTTTCCGTATTCAGGTGTGCACCCGGGGCCAGGCGGCTGGCCATGGTTGGGAATGCACGCCCCACTGCACTCTGGTCCCACCCAGTCTCACGCTGTCACCCCCAGGGCTCAGTGCAGAACTGTGTGCAAGGCTAACCCTCATCCAAAGCACAACTCCCAGCATGGGTAGCACAGGGAGACCCCGTCTCTACAAATAATTTTAAAACATTGGCTGAGTGTGGTGGCATACACTTGTGGTCCTAGCTACTCAAGAGGCTGAGGCGGGAGGACTGCCTGAGCCTCAGAGTTCGAGGCTGCAGTGAGCTGAGACGGCACCACCGCATCCCAGCCTGGGCAACAGAGCAAGACCTAACCTCAAAAACAAAAACAAAAACAGAAAAACCCCCACAGCACAACTGTACCACCACCACTCCTCCCGAGGCAAGAACACCCCCACCCTGCTCTTCAGCACCCACTCTGATGGTAGGCTTCGAGCAGGCTGACAGTCTCTGCAGCCATCCAGCTGAGTCACTGGGCCTCGGACATGCCAAGCACTAGATCTCCCCTGCCATTTCCCTAAAGCAGAGGGGCAACACCTGTGCCACCCACGTGTGCAAGCTTGGATCCTGGCCCTCTGCCTCTTTTTCATTCCTAGTGCAAAAACCACCCCAGAAAAGCAAGAGCTGCCAAGGCCAACAGCCTTGCGCACTGGAGAGCCGTCTTGACCAATCCCTGGAGGGAGCTCCATGCAAGCTACCAGGGTAAATGCATAACGAGACCCAAGGCTGCCTGGGCCAACTGCTCTCGGTAGATAAAGGGGCAGAGCCCAGGAGGGCAAGTGACACCTGAGGTCACAGTGTAAAACAGAGACAGAGACAAGACCCCTGTCATTGACTTGAAGTGACCGATCTGTGCCTGCCCAAGGGTCCCATGTCCAAGCAGCCACCCTCACTCCCCTGAGCACCCACCCTCGTGGTCAAAGCTCACAGCTATGGGGCCGTGGGTCAGGGTTTGGAACAAAGCTAAATGGCACATGGGGTCAGCTGGCAGCTTTCCTATCACACGCTGATCAGTGAGCCAGGAGGCCAGGCCAGAAGCGCCCTGTGATATCTTCGGGGCTCCCGCTCACCAGATCCTTCTACAAGACCCAAGAGGTGCCCATCTCATTCTAGAACACTCCAGGCAGGGCAGGGGCCCTCCCCACCCCCATCAAGAGAGGTCTGTCAGGGAGCACAGCTCCTGGTGTGAAGACAAGCCTGCGGCTCCTCATCTCACCCACAAGTCCAGGTTCTACCCGCTGAAAGCACACGAGCAAGCTCTCCTCCCTTCTCCCAGCTTTTCAATGTGACAGCTGCTCTCAGTCACCTCTGAATCATCTGGGGGGTGTCATGTAACCCAATCCTTGGGCCCCTCATCCTGGAAATGCTGGCTCTCAACTGGGAGGGGAAGATGGCGAAAGGACCCTGCCCTAGATGAACACCACTCTAGCTCTCCTCTCCTAAGCAAGGCTGTGCCCTGGCCTCTCCGTGTTTCATCAGCTCCCCCATTCACTTCATGTTCCGCCAGCTCCATCCCTTGCTCACTTCATGTTCTGCCAGATCCATCCCTTGTTGCCACTGTCCCATCACCACCTAGAGACTGGTGCCCATGCAGTGAGGTGGCTGGTCAAGTTCAACGAGCTGCCTTCCTCTTTGTTACACCTGTCACATTCGAGCATTTCCTCTCACACGACGTGCTGAGAGGCACAGAAGACACCGCTCTTGTGCTCATACTCCCAATGGGGTAGGAAGGCTGCGTGCCCCCCTCCCACGATGAGACAAACACCCTAGAAGAACTCTGACCCAAGCCCGGCCCTCGGGAGCACACAGCAGGGTGACTGCTGGAAAGGGCAGGGCAGGAGTGGAAAGGGCTTCTCAGAAGAGGTGACATTTCAGCTGGGCCTTGAAGGGTGAACAGGATTTCCCGACAAATGAAACTAGTAGGGCCAATCAGGAAGTGACTGCAAGAGTCTAGTAAGAGGAGAGGAGGGCTTGGTGTGGAAGGGGACAGATCTGATGCCTGCCCGACACAATGACCAATTAGATACAGGGACAGAGAAGAAGGGAGGCGTTTCAAAGGTGATGGGCCCCAAGAGACAGGTGGCAGAATGGCCTCTATGAAGGTTTGCACTCCCGCCCAACTCCGCCACCAGCTGGGGGGGCGACCCTGGACCTGTCACTTCCCCTCTTGGACCCCAATTTCCTCATCTGCAGAAACAAGGAAGTAGTTCCACTAGATGTTTTCCAAGGCTCCCTCCAGCTCCAAGAGCCTATGGACATTACAGAGCCACCGTGGCCAAAGCTCTTGCTTCCCCCTCTACCCCCCAATACCTGGCAGCACTCTGAATCCTTTGGCTTGCCACGTGGAACTAAAATTCCCTAAGGACAAGGATAGTAGCTACCCTAAGACCTCTCAAAGCACGCACCCCCTCAAGCTTTCTTATCCTAGCCCGGGACCCCTTCCAGATCAGCTCTCTCCAAAGGTGGAAGGCTTTTTGAGGACTGATCCCACAGAAGTGCAAGGGGCACAGGCATGACAATATGCCCTGACCTCATCCCAAATACAACAAAAGGAGACAAGACAAAGGTGATGAGGCTGGGCTGGCGGGAGGGGGCAACTCCCACCGATTCTGCTGATTCCTGTCAGCAGAAACCTCGGTGAGGAAGAGGGCGTCGGGTCTGCCAGCTGCTCTCTCGAGAAGTCTGAGGAATTGCTGATGACAGTTTCCAAACTGCTACCCTGGAGGATCCCAGAGCTTCATTTTAAGCAGCCCTTTGGAAGGCAGGCTACCCTCTAATGCACAACCTGTCTGCAGACTGGTAATGAATTCATGCCAAAGTGGTCAATTCATTTTAATAAACAAATGAATATGCAGAGGCCCCAGGAAGCCAAGGCAGCAGTGGTGGTGGACTTTGGAGCCGATTGTAATTAGGCCCCTGCCCTACTTTCTAAAATTGCGTTTCCCTGCCAGGGAGCCTGCTCCAGGCCTTATGAGAAGAAAGTCGGTCCAAAGAGTGGAGAAGGTGCTGCTCATGGTGACGGTGCCTCTATAAACAGCCCCACCACTGGAGAAGCCTTAGCTTACTGAGCTAATTCCTGCTACTGCAGCTGCCTGGGCTGGCACGGGGCACCACCAACCACCAAGCGCCCCCGCCCAGGGGGTGCTGAGAAAGGCCCTGCTCCCTGGAGGCAACAGGTGCTGAGAGACCTGGAACGAAAAAGGGCCACCGGCAACCCCCCAGCCTTTCAAAGTCAACGTGGTAGGTGGCGATAATCTCCGAGATGTGGAGAAACCAGCACTTTCTGCCTTGGGGGGTGGGGAAGGAAGCAGCACCCAAGAGCCCAGCTCCAGCCTTCCCAACTCCCTCAACCAACTTTCTCCCTCCAGGCAGCTCCAACTTCCCATCCCCAGAGCATCGAGGCCCTGGAGCTCAGTCAAAGGACAGCAGCCTCTCACCGCCCAGGACACAAAGCCCACCCAGCAAGGGCTTGTCTGCAGGACCACCACCGAGGCCAGGGGATCACCAGAGCCCCCAGAAGAGAACGGCCGCGGAGCAAGGGGTTAGTGCTGGGAGGCATACCTGCCACTGAGGACTAGGGCTTCCCAAGCCCCCTTCACCTGCCTGCAGGGGGCTTTTCCCTCACCCACACTCTTCCAGGTCTTGCCTGGGACAGAACTCACCCTGACTCTGCCTTCTGGGCAAGGCCAGGGTCCTGTGGGCCAAGGGGCAGTCAGTAGGCAACTTGGGAGCTGACCCTTGTGCTAGGGGCACAAAACGGACCAAGAGGCCACCAAAAAAAAAGGATGCCACAAAGCTGTCATGGACAGCAGTAGGCTTTCTGCCCTAGAGACTAGGCAAGGCTACTAGGCAGGGGCAACAACAAACGGACCCCACGAAGGCCGTGGTGCATCAGCCATAGCTGAAGAGAGAGGTTCCTTCCCCTCCCAACTAACAAGGGCTTGGGTTTTGCAGGGAGGCAGAAGAGCGGGCGGGGTAACCCCCTGGCTCCGCAGAAGCGGAGAGACACAGGACTACGCAGGCCGCTGGGGGGTAACCGGAATTCAGCTTGGAAACCAGAAGTCATCAGATTAGGAGAAGGGGCGACTTGGAGAGAAATGCTGCAGAAGTCAATGTCGAAAGGGAGACGCGGCCCTGCCGCCGGCCCGTCCTATGGGGTCCCCAAGGCTCCAGCATGACCCGGGTTGGCGGATGTTAAACTCTGCGCCCTAAGAGCGCCTCCCTTCCCTCCCTTTTTCGAGAGACAGAGAACGAATTTGTAATCTAGAAATGGTCATTTCTCCAGAATGGGCACTCGAGATGAGGTAGAGCTGAGCAGGCGCAGGAGAAGGGAGGGAGTGAGCAGAGCTCTGCTTGCGCCAAGGCGACACATCCGCCCGCCCCAGCCCCAGCCCCAGCCCCAGCCCCAGCCCCAGCCCGCTGGGTAACGGTGTGGGTCTGAAGTCACCACCGCTGGAGACAGCCCCTCTCCCTCACCAGTCGGACTAGGGGCTTTCTTTTAACTAACGAAAACCAATCCTCAAACACGGGAGAGACAAGGGAACGGGGAGAAGATCAGAGGAAAGCACTGAAGCCCGGCACAGCAAAGGGGAGGGGCAAGCCGATCAGTGGGGAGGGAGGGGGCGGAGGAGGGGGCGGAGGGAGGAAGGGGAGGGGGACGAAAGGGACGCCGTTTGAGGAGACGCAGGGAGGGGAGAGGGACGGGGAAGGGAGGGGAAAGAGGAGAGAAGGTAGAGGTGAGGAGGGAGAGAGGGGAGGAGAGGAAGGGAGGGAGGGAGGGAGGGAGGGAGGAAGGGAGGGAAGAGGGGAGGGAGGGAGGAAAGAGGAGAGAGAGGGAGGAGATGGAGGGAGGGAAAGAGCCGAGAACCCAGCGGGCTTTGCACTCACCCGTGTTGTACACGTGCAGTTCGTCCACTATTCCCTCGTTGCCGCCGCCAAACACCACGATGAGCTCCTTGATGGCCACGGCGCGGTGGCCGTGGCGGGGCCGCGGCACCGGACCCGACCAGCCCACCACTCGCTTCCAGCGGGGCTGCAGGAGCACCGCTGGCGAGTTGGCGGGCGACACGGCCGAAGCCATAGTTCCGGGAAAGGGTGCGGTGGGGAGAAGTCAACAAGCGGGAAAGGAGCCCCTCAATTCCTTTCACACACCCCCTTTCGTCTAAGGCAGCTCTCACGGAGAAGCGGTTCCTCACACAGCGGTAGACGACTCCATGGAGGCCGCCATCTTAACTGCCCTCCTTCCCTTTGGCTCTTCCCTTTCTTCTCGCTCACCCCGTCTCCTCAAGAGCCGCCCGAAACTGTCGAGCGCCTAGGCTCAAGAAGCTGGAGGCCGCCGAGTCCCGTCGCCCCGAGTACTTGCCCAGGCGCTCCCGCTTACAAGCTCGGGCGGGAGGCCCTGGGAGCCGCCATCTTGAGCCGCCTCTCTCTCCTCCCTTCCTCAGTCGTAGCCCTCCCCCGCCGGAAATGGCGGAGCCCCGGCCCGGTTCCCACACCCCCAAGTCCCCAGCACTGGCCGGCTTCCGGGGCGGGTGGAAAGGAGCCACAAGCGCCGCGGTCGTCGCAGCCCCGCCGGCGCTCAGACCACAATTGTGGGAGCCGCCATCTTGAGACCGTCCCGCTTCCCCGCCCAGCGCCTTAGTGCAGCCGCCGCTCCCGAAACAGCCTCGACACACCTAAGGAGTGGAGGCGGGCCGGAGGCCGGTGGAACCAGCTCGAGCTCTCGAGGGCCGTTTAGGGGCTCGCGCCGTACGGCTTGTGAAGTCTCGCGCCTCTCCCCTTAGTCCGCCTCTGCTGCTCAGGCTGCGCCTGCCGCCGTGGGAGCCGCCATCTTGAGACTAGCTCCCCGTTCCCCCCTATTCTCTTCCTCCTGGGTCAGTTCTTCCACTGCAAACCAAACTCAAGGCAGTGTCCGATCCTCACTTCCCGCCTTATGACTCCTTCCCATAGGAGCCGCTTCAAAGAGCTAGAGTTAGGCCCCGACGCGGCAACTGTACGGCAGAAGGAGCGGTAACGGCAGGGCGCTCATGCCTCCTCCCTGGGAGCCGCCATCTTGTGTGAAGAAGTAACAACTAAACATGGCGGCAGCGGAGCCGGCGGTCGGGCGAGGGGGCGGAGTTGGGTGACGTCACCGCTTCTCCCCACTCGCCCTCGCACCGCTTAGCCCCTGGGCCCAAGCCTCTTAAAGGACCCCTGCGCTGCCTCGCGGCGGGGGTGGGGGTCGGCGCGGCCGCGCGCTGGTCTAAAGCTCGAGCCGCGCTCAGGTCAGGTGCAGGCGCAGGCGCGCCCCGCCCCACGGCCCCCCAACAGGGCGAGCCTCCACGCCTCCGCCCTGGGAGCCGCCATCTTGCCACTTCCCTTCGCCCGGCCGTCCGCGGGCGTCAATAGCGACTTTCAGCACAAAACAAAGATGGCGGCGGCGGCATCTCCGAAATGCCCGGATGAGAGTGCTAATCCCTCCGACGCGCTCGGCCCCGCCCCCCTTGGGAATAGTCTCTCCGGTCGCTGAAGGGACGCACGCCCGAGGAACTGCCTTTAACTGGCAGTGGGGACAAGGGAACGTTGGTGGCCGGGGGTGGCGAAGAGCCACTGCAGCCGTGCCTGCGGCCGGGGAGCGAGCGTTTTCCCGCCCTGCACACACAGCAGCCGCAGGAGGCTGCCCGAGGCACGCCGCGGGGGAGCCGGGGGCGGGGCTAGAGTGGGAGGCGACGCAGCCGAGCGCCGGTGCCCGGGGGTGGAGCCTCTGCCTGCTCCCAGGCCGCCGGTCCCGCCCTCGGGCGCCACCACCTCCGCCCGAGCCGCAGCAAAATGAGCCGAGCCGGGCCGCGCGCCCCAGACCGCCGCGCGCTCGGCCGCCCCCACCGCCGAGAAGCCCACAGTCGGGCCGGTGGCGCCCGAGCCGGGCGGGCGGGCGGGCGAGCGAGCGCGGGAGGCGCCCGCGTCACCTCGCGTCACCTCGCCCCGCCCGCTTCCCAGGCCCCGAGTCCCGCCCTGCGCGCAGGCGCAGCGGCGCTGCCTGGGTCCGCCCTTTTCGGAGATTTGAATTTTCCCCAGCGAGGCGAGTGAGGCGAAATACCCGTATGGTGATCGCTGGCCTTTTCGCGCCAATACTGTAAGTGCTTACCGCAGCCCCGGGAGGTGGGTCCCAGCCTCGCCCCCACGTTCCGCCGCCTCCAGGAGGCCGACCGGGCGCGGCGGCGGCGGCGGCGGCATCTTCTCTGCCACGCGCAGGCCGCAGCGCGGGGACCCAAGCTGCTGCCCGCGAGCGGCAGTCGCCAGTAGAATTGGACAGACAGGTCCTGTAAGAGCCTGTGGCTTTTGTTGTAAACGTCTAGAGGTTCAATTAAATTACAAGATCTACCAGATCTACCGGCGAGCAGAATTATTACTTTGAAGTTACTGAAGTTATGCGTCCTGCTGGAAGACCTTGTAATTTAATGCGTTAGTAAAGAAGCACATATCACTGTCTCACACATTTTCAACAATATTTTTAAAGTCGCCTGTCAACATATTACATGAATTTTGTAATCCTCTGTGTTTTAGTTCATGCAGTTGGAAGTATCCATTTGAGAAGGGACAAAGAGAAGAATTCCTGCTTGTCTGGCTGTGCCACCACCTGCTCTTTGTGACCTTGGATAGTTACCTCACTTCTATGTCCCCAAGTCCCCCACCCATGTAAATAAGAAAACTAAGGCTTGACGCGTTGGCTCATGCCTGTAATCCCAACACTTTGGAAGGATGAGGTGGGAGGATCGCTTGAGCCTAGCCGGGGCAAAATAGCGAGACCCGGAGGCATGGTGGCACCCACCTGTGGTCCCAGTTACTTGGGACGCTGAAGTGAGAGGATGGCTTGAGCCAGGGAGTTCAAGGGTGCAGTGAGCTGAGATCGCGCCACTGCTCTAGCCTGGGCGACAGAGCAAGACCCTGTCTCAAAAAAAAAAAAAAAACCCACACACATACACACACAAACAGCTGCTGGTTTCCAAGAGCCTTGCCTGGAATCAGTCCAGAAGCCAAATTAATGTTAATTGATGTCCCTTTATCCACAGAATGCAAGGAAGGTCATCCGGGGGGGACATAACTAACCATAAATGCTAAAGGCCTGGAGGTGACAGTGCCTGCTGTTTAAATGTGTGCGGGAGAGTCTGGGGCCTTTAGCCAGGAGATTGTCAGGCTTTCCAGGGCTTCCCTGAAAGACCCCAGACCCAGGGGCCAGTGCTGTTGAGGTGTTGGACTTCCCGTGCCAGGAGCTGGGGGAAGCTGTGATGAGATTTGAGTGTCACATAATAAGGATCATGGCAATTCAAAGGTACAGGGAAGCTAGGCTATAAGGTAACCAGCTCGGTTTTCCTGGGGGTCTTGGACAGGTGCTTTGATTACATTGTCACTGTCAGCCTGTATCCCGGGTCAGGTAGACTGAACCTCTGCAGCCGGAAAGAGGAGTTGCTTTCCATGTCTTTCCTGGAGTTCCTCCTTGATCAAGTTGACAATGTTTGACTCCTGTTCCAGCTCTCCGCCCTGCTTGCTGGCAGGCAGGAGGGT